TCTAAGGATAATTCAGACATTCCAATGGATAAACAACTTTTAATGGTGGAAAGTTAAACTATGTATTAAACAGAGTACATTAACCTACTTACTTCCCAAGAGGTAAAAGTATTAGAGCTTTAAAATAAGCAATTTGCAGAAATGCAAAGGCAACCCAGATTCTTAACTGAATGAGTTATTTCTTCTTATTAAAACTTTCAGTAGCTCCCCATTGCCTATGATAAATATGTAGTCCCCACATTAGGGCAATTTCTGGTTCTCAGTCTATTTCTGCTCATCTTCCCACCGGCCCCCGCCCCCCACCACCTTTGTTCAGCCCAAACAAATTGCTTTTAGTTTTCAAACTTGCCTTGGTATTTCCTACCACTATACCATTATCACTGTCTCCTTTTACATGGAAAAGTCTAAATTTCTCATCCCAAATTCCCATCAGTGTGCCTCCATTTTATCTGCTTGGCTAACACTTTGCTTTTCATGACTCCAGTCAAAGCTTTCTTCCCCATCCCTACTATGTTCTCCAAACAGAAATGAACATGACTTCTAGGAAAACACTGTAGTCAGATCAACACATTGTCTGCAGTTTGCTGTGTAGTTAGCAATATTTAGTTTTACCTCTCTATATAATTCATTACTAAATGTCAATTTTTCTTAATTATCTCCTTTTATTAAAAAATTATAAATTGTATATAACTTTCATAATGAAATTTCATCAAGAATGAACTAAAGAGTTCAAACAACTGCTGTCCCACAAAAGCAGTAGATCAGTAGAGACTCTTATAAAAGGAAGAGGGAACAGAGTTTGTATTTTCTGTGTGTATGTGTTTCCCAGCACACATTCACAATAAGAGACAGGCAGCTCCTTCTCAGAGTACCTTACACACTCCGATTGCAAACCATCTATTGCCAAAAACTATTCTAACATGCAACAACAAAAACAATAATCTTCATTAATTGCTTATGGTTGTTCTCAGATAATACAGACACTTGAGAAATAGACATTTTAGTTTTTATGCTTTCCAATTTTGTTCTTGAATAGATCTCTAAATTTACACTCCACTGTCCCATGATGCACAACTTTCTCCAATCTTCCACGTCTACCTAATATCCTGCTATTTTTATGAGCTTCAATAGCCTGTTTTAAAGTGGTAGTTTCTTTAAGAAAATAATTACAATGTAAATTAGTCTTCAACAAATAGTAAGACGCATTTTGGAATTAAATGCCTAGGTATTGAAGCTTGGCTTCTTGATATGTTTAAAACAATTATATAAGTTTAACCATAGCCATTCAATCTATGTACCTAGAAATATCATTCTTTCTGTTGCTAATGAAGGTCCTACGGCACAAATTTATTGAAGGTATACGTTTGCATGGGATAATAATTGGGTCGATAATATTAAATTCATAGGCTCATTATTTAATTGCAAGGGCAGATTATGAATACAGCTTCTAAAATGTATTTTAATGAAAAACACTACATCCTGACCTAATCATATCAACCTTATGCTATCTAATTAAGGATGCAAAAAATCATTAGAGTTGCAAAATATTAGTTCCAGCTCCATCAGGCTGTGAGCTGCCCCTTCATGAATATATATGTTTTTACTCCATGATAAATAGTTAATGAGGTAAAAATGACAAAATTTGCATGTAGGCAAATTAGTTTAATAGAATGATGTCTTTTCTGACTACTAAAAGTGACCTTTTCCTTATCAAAAAAATTGTAAAATACTTTGAAATTATCAACTGGCTGTCTCTGCACAAATGACAAATTATGTGTATGAACAATATAAAAATTATAAAATACAATAATCCTAAATTCTCACCATACTGTAAATGTGTTCTGTGCTTCTACATTTATCAATTTAATAAAAGGAAATTAAGCATATTATAAAGTGTCCATTTATGGGACAATTTTTATTCCAGATCATAAAAATGAGAAGCACATGCTTAATAGCCACCACTATGGCAAATATCTAGATCAAAGTTTTAAAGCACAAGAATCCTAGGCTACTTATTTGAAATACTTTTATATTAAAATGTTTATTCTACTCTTAATTTAGCATGTTAGACTATAGATGATTGTTCTCAATTAAACAGGCATTACATCTTGTGATTAGCATATTAATTATTCAACAGGGTTCTTTTGCTTCCCTATAAAAATAAACTAAACAGGCAAACACAGGACAGCTTAAGAAGAAAAACATAAAAAGTAATTATTAAGAAAGAGGAAATATTCATGGTGCAAATATAATGAACAAATAAAATATATATGTCTTATACATTTAAGTTTGGGAATGTTTGTGTATGCTTAACAAACATAATCCTAACAACAAGATATAACAAGTGTTCTACAGATTTTCAAATGATCTCTATGACTCCCACCACTGATGGTGATTGATTCTATAGATGTTTTTAGGGGTAACAGCAGCCATTTATCTAGATATATGAATTTCCATTAAGTGTCCAATTAAACTGAAGCCAAAATATTTTACTTAAGACTCAAATGGCTTTGATTAAATTGTTTACTTTAATTACATTGAATCAAATTGTCTTTTCTTTGATTTATTTGAATATCTACACAAATAATTATGGATACTCAGGGTCTGGGGTCTCTTTCTGAGTTCTAGTCTTGTCCATCATGGGTCAGCTAAATCATTTTACAAAAAAGGGCATAAATATTAAATTTAAATAATTAAATAATTTCATGGCCTCCTTAAATTTTCCTTTTAGCATCTAGGTATTAGTGTTGTTTCTCTCTCTCTCTCTCTCTCTCGCTCTCTCTCTCTCTCTCTCTTTCTCTTGGCTCTCTCCCAACTCTTGCTAAAATAGAAATATTGAATACTCAAATAATTCTGTTTTCCTATGTTTTCTATTTTTAGATAATATTGTTTAACTCAAATTATTTTGCTATTCAACTTTGGATTGCTTTCAAATTCTTAAACTTCAATGTTGTGAAACTTAATGATAAAATAAAATGCACTCTACCTACTCTAGGTACTGTGAAATTATCCTAAAGAGGAAATGCTCTTTGCTTAATTTTTAGGATAATTTCAAAAATTTAGACCTTTTACAAATTATGCTATAAGTCAAGTATTTTTGAAAAAGAAGAAATCAGAATAAATATATAGTAACATAAAATTTGTTTTGCTTCAAGTTAGGGACAGTGATCTTGAAAATGCCTGCAGTGACATTATATTGATTATCAAATAAATAAAACTTAAGGCATATTGAGTGTATTAAGAGTGAATCCATGTGGAAAATTTTTTTAAAGCTGATTAAATTTCTATCAATTAGGGGATAGGATGAGGTGGGTTATATGTCCATTCTATGGGCTTACTAAAATATTCAATTATTCAAGCATTTATGCATACATTCTTTTATGTATTGAACAAACAGCCAGTAAATCGGTGCTATGTTCTAGACACTCTGTTAGACATTGAGGACACAAAGATGGAGAAGCCACTCTATCATTCCATAAGGAGATCTTATTTGGAAAAGAAAGAGGGACATGTGAATAGGCAATTCTCAAGTTGTGTGTTGGATGCTGGAAGGGTCAGGTAAGATAGACAGTTTTGACAAAAACGAAATGATCCTTTCTGTGTTGAGCCCACAGAGAAAGCACTCAAGCTGAGCTTTGGAAGAATGATTAGTTTGCCAGGTTGTAGGTGAGAAGTTGGGAAGATGCCCCTCCCAACAGAGAGGACTGTACGGGCATATGAAACACTATGAGATGGCTAGTGAGTTAGTCATGTTTTTATATGGATTAATCACATTTTGGTCAGAAGCATGCTGGATGGGAAGAGGCAGAGGGGACGCAGGAGATGTGGCTGAAAGGGTAGGAAAGAATCAGATCCAACGGCAATTGCTCAGCAGTCAGGATTTTGGCTTTTGTTCACCAGGCAATGGAAAGTTGTTGAAGCATTTATGAAAGGGGCATGTAGGGTCACATTTGCATTTTAGAAATCTCTCTCTGATGGAAATGAATTCATGAACAGTGTAAAGCTGGGGCCACAACAAGGTGGGAGTGAAGGTGGAATGATTAGCAAAGCTTTGGTGATCTTCAGCAGTTGGACATCGAGGGCCTAGATATTTGTAGCTATAGAAGGAATAGAGAAGAAAAGATATGAAGAGAGCAAAATCAACAGGACTTGAGGCTCAAATAGAAGAAAAGCCTAGGAGACAAGGAAAAGTCTAGAAAAACTCTGAGTTTTGGACCTTTGGAATTCAGAGTGGATGAAAATGCTATGTACAGAGTTTGTAGACGTGTAAGTGCTATGGGGTTCATGATACAGGTGAAGTGCATGTGTTAATTAATTAATTAAACGACGTAGATTTTGTTTGGACAACAGTGGATCATAGGTGTCATTGGGATATTAATCTGGAGACATCAAATAAGCTACTGGATTAGGTTTTGCCTGCAGATATATGCTTTTGAGAATTTTCAGCAGTATGGAAGACAGTTTGAAAGAAGGTTGACAAAAATACAGTGTGTACAGAACCCTGGGAGGCACTGACACAGAAACAGCTGATGGAGAAAGTGAAGTCAAAAAAGATTCCGGAAGAAAGGAAGAGAATCCAGGGCGTTGAATCCAAGTGCATCAGAGGAGAAAGGCAGAAAGAGCAGTCCCTTCCTCCTGTCCACCCGAGGCTACAATAAAGCCAACAATCTCTTCACGTGTGGACATTTTCAACCCTGTCACTAGCTTCTTTTGTGTTTTCCACAACCCTGATGTTTTTTCACAGTGTACGTACAGCAGATATTAATAACTATTTCTGTTAGAAAATAATAGTGCTAAACTACAAGAACCATCTGGTCTAGTCTCCTTGTTTTGACTAATTAAAAAATATATAAAGCCAAGTTGCAAGATTGTATAATAGTAGTAGTTAAATAACATAGCAAATAGCTTCAAGAACATGAGAAAATTGAACAACTTGCTGATAATGTCAACTTGCTGATATTGTACAGTCAATGAAACAAATCTACTTCAACCCAACTCACCTTCCTTCTTTCACCAGTGATTCCTCTCCACTGCTCTGATCTCTTCACTATGTAACTTAGCTCCTGATTGGAAATCTCCAAATCATATGGTATAAAGAACTTGGCTTCTTCACTGTGGATGCGCTGAAATACATCTAATATCCAAGAATCATTGTGCAACCTAAGAACAAAATAATCTGTTTTTATTTACCCTAATATTGTTTACTTTTTTATTGCAGTATTAAATAACTTATATTTCTTTTATCAACTATTTTAGTTTACTTTCCCCATTTGTTTTTTCAGAAATTTATTTGATGATTAAGATTCCAGAAATTACTTAATAATTTCCTCAATGATATATCACAACCCAACAACAACCGTCTGGGGTTTTTTGGTAGTTATTTCCTAATAACCCTAAGGCTTCTGATTTTTGATGTCTAAGGAATAGACTAGAAAATTGAGAAATATGTAGCCATTAATTTGGATTATGCATATCCAAGTTAATGCATATATGAGGGAATTATTTAAAGAAAATTTAAATTTAGGTTCATTCTTGGATTCATTCATGAGTTGGTTTTAGAACCCCATGGAAGGAATCCCACTGGACCGATTCAGTCAGCACAGAGGTATCACTTGGTTTGTTGTTTCACAGCTTGAATGATGAATGAATCAATTTGCTAAAGCACCTAACCTGATGCACTGCTCATTTAATCTTTTTCCGCTTTTCAAAACAACTCCAAATTTTAATTTAGAAAAATCACTGTTTTTCCTGTTTTACTAATAAAGTGACAGTATTATAACAAAATATTAATATTTCTAATAAGAAATATTAGTTTTTTTATATTGCTAAGTGACATTTAGATGAGTATTATAAACATTAATTAGGCCAATACTTATAAACTTTTCCATTAAATACCCTTGAAGTCAGAGAATAGAAAATGTACATACTAGCCCTAATCTACCAATATTTAATATAATACATTTTCTTTTTCAAAACATGGAGCATAATTGAAACTTTGGAGAAGTATCACATTTACCTTGTAATTTAGTGTACATTTGTCTCACCATGTATATCTGGAACTAGTTTAAGAAGCACAGAATTGCACCACTAACACCCACAGGCCAGACCACAATTCCTTATGTATCCACATCAATATACTGCCCTTTGAAAAGTTTTTAGAAAATGCCTACAATAAAAATTGTACCATCAAGATATCTGGACATCACATAACTATGTACATTTCTACATATTCAAGATGGAGAATTGAAAGTATATTAGTTCAATGATCAGGATAATTATCTTTTGCTTTAAATAGTCAAGATATTTAATACTAGAATTTATTGCTTTCCTATTATGACAGTAAATTTCACATCCACTGTGTTATTAAAACCTTGTCTTCATCCTGCCTTTTACATATTAATATACTAAAATAAAAAGTTAGCATTATTGTTTATAAGTAACTGAAACAGAATCTAAACTCAGAACTAACTCCAAATTTCATTTCATTCTATCATACTGACTCTTCAGTTAGAACAACTGATACAACGGGTACTTTCATTTAACTACCTCTATCTGCCTCTAACTACCTCTATCAAAGGTAGTTTTGGAAACTACCTTTCCAAAGCAGTAGAATAGGTTTGACTCTGCTACCAGATAAGAACTTCTATGTGTCTTTTTCCCCCCAACTATTTTGCATTCATCACAGAGTGAAAATAAAAGCAAAACTGCCACTCAGCCTAACTGATGGCCCAAGACAGGCCATATGGCTTGGTGCCATCTTGAAACACAGTGACTGCTCTAACGAAGCTTTGAGACTCTAGGTTGGCCATTTGAATGATTTACTAGTTGCCTTGTTAAACAAGAAGTAGTCTTTACCATTCTCTTAAGCTTGTTTAAAGTAACATTCATCTTTTTCTTTTAATGGTGGTAAGATTTTAATGTAGTTAAATTACTGTCAATTTGCTGCCATAAACATTTTCTGTATGAAGATTTTAAATGCAAGATTATCAACAATGCAATTAACTTTGAATTAATTAGGAATCACAGTCCTGTTTCTTCTGGCTTCTGTTCCTTTTGCCCAGAAAATGTCTGCCTCCTCTTTATTCCTCCTTCATTCTATGTGAAAGAATAATTATGTAAACATCCAATCTTGGATCTACAGGATGGTAAACAAATGCTTTCACAGAGAACAAAATGGCACACTGAAATATGGAAAGCTGCACAAAGATTAATTGCATTTTAGTTTTATTTAAAAAACAATAGTTTTGCTATTTTAAGTGACATTTTACAGTGAAAAGCTCCATGATAGGTTGTTAATGAGTCAATTTACGAACTTTTGTAAGTTTTTAACGTATTTTCAATGTTATAAAGCCAGATTACACAACAAGGATAAAATACTCTACAGTTGAATATGCAAAATAAAAAAATAAGTTGAACATTGATAATTATGTAATTCTTTTGATAATGTAATCAACCAAGCAATATAACACTTATCTAAAAGTGAAATACTTTATAGTTTTAAATAAAAGGATATTTTATACTTTAGCATATCTGTTGAACTTCTGTTTTTCTGGTTGTCTTTAGAAGTTAAAGAGCCTAACTAAATGTCAGGAGAATTTCTGTAAAGATAAACAATGTAAAAACAGTCCCAGTTTCACATCATAATCATTATTATTATTATTCAATTTATTTTGGAGTATTGGTTATATTGATGAAAGAGCAATAGACATTTCTGTATATTCAATATTTAAGAAAATATTAAGTTTAAACTTGTCAAATTTGTCATAATCATATTTAGTTATGAAAGTTCATTATTCTCAAATGAATTACCAATAACACACACACAAATGCACACAAATATTTTCACCCATTTTCTGCCATTTGCGTGTGTGAAGATCATATTGAATTATATAAAATTGAAGATATTGGGTCATATTAGATGAGAGAAGAGGAAAAAGTAATGCAAACATGGAAAATTTTTAACAATGATTGACTAGGAGAAGGATACATAAGTTCATTGCAATATTCTTGCAATTTTTGTAGGTTTGAGGGTTTTTAATAAAAAGCTAAAATTATATAATATTTTATTGAAGTGCACATATTTATATGGTGATGGTTAAAAATTTTGGTTTCTTTTAACAATATAACTATTTGATATGTCTGAAAATTTTTATATTTTTAAATTATTTCTTCAAAAGGTAATTAAAAGAGAAACTACATTCCACCTGTCCATAAAGCCTTAGGCATTATTGTTTATAAAAATAGGTCACATATCATGCCACAGGTTCTGATGATGGCCAATGAAACAAAGTAATTTACAAAGTCCTCTGCCCTGTGTCCTACATTTGCAGCAATTCATTGCTTGGTGACTGGCAGAAGCTATTATGTTTGGTTCACATCTCAATATGGGTCATTTACAGAAACCTAGTATGTGACATTTCTTTTAAAGCTAAAAAGGACAAGTGTGAACATTTAGCTAATATAATATTTTAAGAGTCATGAAAAGGATTGAATCTGTAACTTTAAATAGCTCTAAATGCAAATATATATGATGAAAAAGAATCAAATATAATTGCTTATTTCTAACTCCAAAAGTTACAAGTGAGTTTGGCAGTGTGACTTTACATATATAATAGTCTATGTGTTTACGATCCAAGTTGGAAAACTATTTACCTACTGACATATTTGCATCAGAATGACACAGTATAGCTCTGAGCAGAAAGCATATAAAGAATCAAGCTGCTTTTGGCACAACCGGTTTATGCTTGCCAAAGTTCATTCTTATTTTTGACATGCTAAAATCCACATATTCTTCAGCAGAATTGTTAAGTACTTTAAGTGAGGTGTATGAGGTGAACATATTGAGACGTATGAAGACAGTTTTTGTTTGTTTTGTAGAGAACCTGGGGTACTCACAATTCTGTTTAATAATAATTGAAGTTCAAATGGCTTTGGATTGAAATCATACTAAACAGAGGAAGATAGAAATTTAAGAAAGAAAAGAAGAGAAAGAGAATAAAAAGGGCAATAAAATTTTTGGAAAAAGGAAAAAGCAATTCAGAAAATAACACTACTCAGCACACAGTGGGAAATAGTCAAGAACTCCCCCTCCCTCCCGCGACTGCTTGCAGAGGCAGTCCTAGCAAAGGTTTCTAGTTATGAAGTCAGTACCCCTCGGTGTATTAAATATATGTAGTCTCTGGTTTGTAAGGGCATAGCCATCCTCTTCATCCACTCCTCACTAACCTATTCACTCAGTAAACAAATATTCACAGATACCTACTGTTAGAACCAAGGGAGGAACACATGAGGCCAGGGCAGATGAAAATAAGTTTATTTTAAAGTCTGCATACATCCAGACTGAGGCCAGGAAGGCATTGGCCCAGAAATAGTGGGCATCTAGGGCTTTTATAGTCAGCTTTGGGGAGCGCTCAAAAAGGTGGGGCCAGTTTAAAGGGAAAGTTCCTATGGAGCCTCCCACCAGCCTCTGGGTTCAGCCTAACACCTGGTATAAGTCAAGTACTAAGAATACAAGAGATGGTAAACACAGCCAGTGGGGGCGGGGCGGGGGGTGAGGATTCCAGGAAGGAGGCAGGAGGAGCTGAGGGGAGGACTACACAGTGATGAGAGGAGGCAGAGCAATACGGCAGTGCCACACTGGCAAGGCAGCGCCCAGGCAGAGTGAACGCGCGTTGTTAGGAGTGGTAGGAAGCTACTATATGTGTTTAAGTGAAGATGTGATATATTAGGTTATTAAGTATGGAATGTCTGATTTCCCCAAGTATTAAGTTTGACAGTTTGACAGTTGATATCTCTGACATTTCACTTTGACACTTCTTGGTATTTTTTTTTTATTGTGAAGGTACATTCTTATTCTTTCGAATGCACATTTGACTTGTGATTATCTTTCAATTTTTTTAGAGCAATTTTTGTGATAAGTGAAAAATTCACAATAGTTTTGAATACGAGTTCTGTTAAGGAACCAATGCAGCACAGACAGCTTGAAATATCAATGAAGTGTTTGGGAGGGATGTGGCTAATGAACGCACGGTACATCAATGGTTTGAGAAGTTCCATTCTGGTGAATTTAATCTTGAAAATGATCCACGTGGGTGACCTGAGACTAAGGAGCATAATGATGAGCTAGCTGAAAGCTGTAGTGGAAGCGAATCCATCTTAAC